TCGTGATGATCCGTTTATACTTGCATCCCAAGCTGAACAAGTTTTTTATGTAGAGGATCCCTCAAACAAACGATGGTCAGTTGTTTTACCAGGTAAGAAAAAATTAAATGTGGATGATTGTGACGTTGGAGAAGATGATTATATTGAAGATATGCCGTCATTGTCCACTGGCATGCATGACAGAAATGCAACAATCGATTACAATGAAGATGATCTTTCATTTGTTGGAAATCATAACGATGGCATAGAAATTTTCTTCAAAAAGTCAAAGTGATATCATGAGTGAATTGTAAGTAATCTTAACGTTATTATGTTTTTTTCTTGAATTAAAATTCATTTTTCTTTCATATATTATTTGTGCTTCTAATAATAACACTGTTGCAGGAGCTACACACTATGAGTGATAGTGATGGAGATGACTTTATTCTCAATGAGGAACCTCATGTTACGGTGGAGGAACATAGTAGTAGTGGGCGCAGAACTAGCGACGGGAAAAAAATAGTTGATTTTGATAAAAATGGTCAGCCAGTTGGTGCGTGGGCGGAGAAGTTCAAATCTTTTGTGGGCAAGATAGTACGTGCTCGGGTAAACATCAACATTGAAAGTTGGAAACATGTCCCCGAATCCCTAAAATTGCAGATGTGGAAAGAGATCCAGGTATGTACACTTAATTATATATTTTAACTTTATTAATAATAAGAAAAGATTACAAGTCCTAATGCATATATTAAATCACCACTATGTAGGATGAGTATTTTGTTGATGACACCATGTACAAGTTGACCATAAAAAAGATGGGAAAGTTACATCGGGACTTTAGAAACCGATTGAGGACTGGCTTTTTTTATAAGACACGACCAGTTGGACAGGATAGTGGTGAAGCTTATGTGAAGTATAAAGGCATTTTGACACAAGATGTGTGGGAGGATTTTATCGCTAGGAGCATGACTCCGGAGTTTCAGGTATAATCCAAATGTAATTTTATTGAATTCAATTTTGTTTTATAATATGAATTCCATACTTTTTAAATTTTATGCAGGAATTAAGTGATAAAAACAAACAAGCTGCGTTACTGAATATTTACCCTCACCATATGGGTCGCTCCGGATATGCACTTTCCATACCGAAATGGAAAGATCAAGGATTACTAGATCAGTTTTTGACTACGTCTGAAGTGGATTCCACAAAATCTAGCGTATCTTCTGATGACATTCCGAGACATGTGAGTTGGTTTTGTGCTAGATCTGGATTGACAGCAGATGGACAACTAGCTTTCCCGAGTAACACCGAAGCCATGAAAAAGAAGAAAGAAAAACTTGTAAGTATGTTTCACATCAGTATATTTTACGTATAAACGTTTCACATAAGAATGTTTTACGTATAAATTTTGTAACTCTTTTTTTATATGTAATAGGATAAAATTCAAGATGATGTTGCTACAGGGACGTGGAAGCCACACGGACGACATGATATTCTTACCGAGATATTTGAGAAACCTGATTATCCTGGACGTGTACGCGGTGTTGGAGGAGGTGTGGGGCATAAAAGAGTGTTTGAGCGAGAGCCGAGGAGTTCACGTAAGATTGGTAATTTGAGCGATGCTGATTTGAAGAAGTTACAGGATCAGTGGATGAAAGATATGGAAAAAGCTTTTGCTCAAAGAGGATTCCAATCTACCACATTTCCATCTACGCATTCTCAAACAGTAGATGCAGACACTATGAACTCCACCGCACCTATTCCACGAAAAGTTTTTGTTGTAAGTAATTATTAAAATCATATATATTTATTAATGTCTACAATATTTATTAACTTTTTTTTGAAAATAATTATAGGACGGTTCATCCTGTAAGCTAGCTGTTGAGTCACAAACAGAAGATGGACACAAAGATTTGAAATATGTAGCAATGGCTTTGGCTTATAATACAGCCCCGGGGGCCATGATACATAATATTCCGATGTCTGCTAATACCATTAAAGTTAACATATCTATGATTTATACAGGTTTTGTGAAATGTCATCCTTTGTTTCCATATATAGTGTTCACAGATTTTGTGAGATGCAAATCTTTAAATGTTATTATTATTTAAGTTTGTTTTTTGTTTCAATGGTTTTTACAGGTTTTGAGCAATGTCCTCTTTTAGTTCCAAATGAAAATGCTGATATATATGTGTTGACAGACGCTATAGGATCATTTGTTGAGTGGCCTAGTCATTTAGTTTTTTTTGAAGGAGAGGTGAATAAACAACTCTTTGCAATTATCAAACAATACAAAATTACTCTATGTTACTGTCATTCTGACCATTTTTTTAGGATCAGGTAAAGTCAAAGCGGAAAGATGTGATTCAAAAGAATAAAGCTTTTATTCCGAGAGAGTCTCCTCGGGTTGTGGTTCCTCCTAGCACATACCCATTGGTTAGTGATACTATTTTGCAGTCACTAACTGAAGATTTATTGGAGCTACATGAGATGCTAGAGTGGTATGAGCCAGAGGTGTGTAAATTCTCTATTGCTTTACCTGTTGATGCTTTTCACTATCCGCAAAACAGTGAATTTGGGACTATCATCGATCGTAAAGACTTGACTGAACTACTCAAGGGTGATTCTGTGGATATGTGCATCATTCAATCCTTTGCATTGTAAGTATTTTAAATAAATATAACAATATCTAAATTAAAGTTAATGAAATGTTTTGAACTTCAAAATTGTATAATGATGCTATATTATGTTTATTATAGGTGTGCCTTAGCTAAATTGAATGATTTGCAACGTGATGATGTTGTGTTTTTGTGCCCCTTATTGTGCTCTTATGGTTCTTATCAACTTGACAAGAAGGGCACAATAACATATATGAAACAATCTTTATGTGCGACGTTTGGAAAAAGAATGATCTTGCTTCCATATAATGAAGGGTAAATAGTTTTATTTTATATAATGTATCTGCTTATGTAAATTTAATTTTTTAATTAATCGTAATTTTTTTGATATTTAGATTTCATTGGATTTTGATAGTCATTTGCCCCTCGGTTAATAAAGGCTATATCTTCAATTCAATCCCAAGCTTTTCTAATATCAGCATTCAGAAAGATCTAGCATTGTAAGTATTCGTTTAATATTTTTTATTTATAATAATTGCTATAGATTATTATTATTATTATTATTTATATCATTTAACATAATTTTTTAATGTAGAGCATACAGAGTTGCTTCCGCAAGAAATGGTGATGGAAAGCCAATCACATGGCATAATGTTAAGGTAAATTCATCAATAACTTATTTCAATCACCATTAACTTTGATACATGTATTTTGTAAATTTGTATTTCAAAAAAGTGTGCCAGACAAAACGGAAACACAGAATGCGGATATTATACCATGCGATACATATGAGAAGTGATTTCGTATGTTGATAGCTTTGATATTGGAAAGGTATATCATTATTTATTCTTATTTTTTAACTTCGTTTAATCTTTTCTAATTTAAAAGTTGTAATATTTTTTATTTATGTTTTATTTTATCTAAATATTTGTAGGATTGGTATTTAAGAACTGAGGCATATTCTGAAGATGAGTTTAATAACATTCGCAATATATGGGCACGATTTTTCTTGGATGTACTCTTAAATATGTAAAAGTTGATTACATTGGTTATGTATTGTGTTAAGTGTTTTTTGAAATCATTTTTATGAAGATTTTTGTAATCTGTTGGTTACTTGAATTGCTTACACTTTGCTGATTTTGTAATTTGTGAAGTTCATGTTGTTGATATTGTGATGACTTTAAACAGTTTACACTTTTTGAATTTTGTTAATTCTGTTACAGGACGTTTTTGAAAGATCCTAAATATAATTAATATTTTAAAAAAATGTTGAAAATTTGCGGCGCTTATTTATAGAAAAGCGCCGCACGGTTACGTATTTAATTATTAATTTAAAAAATATTTGCGGCGCTTATTTACAGAAAAGCGCCGCACGGTTACGTATTTAATTATTAATTTAAAAAATATTTGCGGCGCTTATTTACAGAAAAGCGCCGCACGGTTACGCATTAAATTATTAATTTAAAAAATATTTGCGGCGCTTTTTTAAAATAAGCGTCGCACGCGTTAAATTGCGGCACCGAGATGTGCGGCGCCTGAAAGCGCCGCACGTTGGTTGATTTAAGCGTCGCAAAAAGGTAATTTTGCACCAGTGCATTAAATGGAACAACTACCCTCTGCATTAGTCCAAAACAACAGCTATTTGCCTATTTGTAATAACAACTAAATGGTTAGCAAAGCCAATTTAGTGATAAAAGCATTCGAGAATAAACATTGAAATGAAAAAGCAATGTGATAATTTTTCAACATTCTGATAGTTTCTAACATTGAATTTTTTTAAAAATAATATGACAATCACATATCTCAATGGCATCACCGAAAACAATGTTACTTCTCGATAATGTTATCACAATGTTGTTTTTGCAGCATTCAAATTGACATTGTCATTATCACAATGTCATTTTTAAAATTTTTGTACAAGTGTTACTTGCAAAGTCATTTTGTACAAGTGTTAATGGTGACATTTATAATTGTCATTATTTGACATTGTTTCATTTTTTAATAATTTTTTATCAATAATGCATTTTCAACAAAAGCAATATATTTTTTAGCAATTGTAATATCTTTTTTATAATTGTCATTATTTGACATTGTTTCATTTTTTTATATTTTTTTTGCTAATATCATGACAATTTTAATATCGACAACGATCACAATAATATCGTGATAATGTTAATGCTATAAACCCAACAATATTAAAAACAATGTCAATGTCACAATATTGTATATTTTTATGTATTGTAAAAAAGAGAAAGAATGTGACAATCTCATAAGAATGTCAATTACAAAGTCATAACAAATGTCAATAGAAAACAATGTCAATGACAATGTCATAAGAATGTGAATGACAATGTCATACGAATGACAATAGAAAACAATGTCAGTGACAATGTCATAAGAATGTCAATAACAATGTCATAAGAATGACAATGACAATGTCATAAAAAGGTCAATAACAATGTCATAAGAATAACAATGAAAGTGGAACCAAACATTTATAACAATGTCATAACACACGGAGTAAACATAGAATAAAACATAGCACTTTTCTTTTCTCAAAAAAAAAAAAAAAAAAAACAATATGAGAAAGTGAACTAGCTTCATTTGCTAATCTTCTTCGTATGGTAAGCTGCATCGATCAATATGAGAAAGTGAACTATCTTCATTTGCTAATGCATCTCTTTGGTGCTTTACCATGACAATTATAATAATCACCTATCAACAATGTGACAATGTTCATACTTTCAGCAGCAGCAGGTTTCATGCTTGCAAGAGCAGGTGATTTCACATTTTCAGCAGCATCAGGTGATAGAGCCACACTCTTATTGGACACACTCCCAGGTCCTCGGGTTACTGCCAACTGTTTTTGTGCAGTTAGGGCTGCCTTAAATGCTAGCTGCTTAACAGAAATATCCCCAGCTCCAGGATCAGCAGCAGGAGCAACAGGTTTAGTTGCATTCCCCTGCTTCCCAGAGCTAAGCAACACATCCCCAGGTTCCAGCAGCTCCTTGGCAAAGTTAGAGCACATCCCAGGGTCTGCCATAGTGTCCACAGTCTGCTTCCCAGACTTCCCACCACCATGTAGTGCAGGGAAGTTATCGTCCAAGTTATCTAACGCATTGAAACCAACAGCAACCCGAGACCTGGTGTTCACAGATGGCGTAGCCACACCTTTACCCTGTTTCTTGCTGGCCATAAGAACTGCAGTCAAAATTTTCCCCAAATCGCAGGTTGGGATAAAAACCGACGAGGACACGGTACTACCTACAACACGAAAGCTAAAGAGGTACCGCCTCCGGTTAAATAGCCCAAACAAAACAAAAGAAACCCCAATCTACTGCACCAGCTTGATTAAAGAACAAAATTCAATTTGCGAAAGTGAACAGTAAAGCCGCGAACCAACATCTCGATTCTGAGATTTTTTGGCCGTCATTCTTCTTAGAAACACCAAATCCAAGCTTAGAGATGGTATTTGCTTCGAAATCCGACCAAGAAAACAACCAGAATCAGATTTAAAACTCAGAAATCATGAACAAACGTGAATTCCATCGTGCAAAAGAGCTGGGCGAAAATTTTCCCATAGCAGGTTCTCCTACGCTAGAAAAATAGGATGAGACCATGGGAGTTCGCAGCGAAGAAAAAGAAGGGAGACGAAGATGTCTATTTCTCCGGCGTCCCTCACCTCATTCGTAGTCCGCTTCAGATTTAGGGAGATCTGTCAAACTTGAGAGATGTAGAAGCGCAATAATCACTGTTGCGTCACTGTGCTGCCACCGCCGCCGCCGCGTCGCTGTGCTGCCACCACCGCCTCAATTCACTGTGTCATCATACCGCATCGCAGATTTGCCGTGTGTTGATAGGGAAGTGTGGCTGGTAGGAGTTTATCGACACACAGGGAAGATGACGAGAGACAGCCCTATTTACAGATGAATAATTAGGGAATTAAAGGATAGTCTTTGTCTTATGTTATTTTCAACTGTGCTTGACAAATGACAAATGACTAAATGAGAATTAATAGAAAGTCTCCTAAACACATTCACAGAATCAAACGTAATATCTACAAAGGAGCAAAAAGTGACCAAACATTAAAAGTGGGACTGGGACTAGGTTGAACTTTGAAAATAGGAGCTATACTTGGTACTTACTTCTCTACTCTTGCCCATTCTCCCCCTCTCCTCAGTCCTCACAAGTTATCATTGATTCCCCACCTTCAAGATTTTTCTCTACCTCTCTCCCTCCCTCTTCTGATGGGAACATCGCTTCCTCCCTTTTTCCTATCTCCGTATTAGAGGAATTTCCCATTTTCCTTCTCCCAGAGGTTGTGCAGGAAGATGGTGTATTGGATAAGGGTTACAACAATGGTGACATAAACACCAATCCTGAAATCATATGTTCCTCCCCTTCCTCTCTTTTTTCAATTTACGAAAATGAATCAAGGTGGATTTTTCCTCCAGTCAAGGTGGCAATATTGTTTAATGATGATAGTTTTGCCATGGTTAATGACAATGTCTTAGATGATGTGTGTGAGTGGCGGAGTCAGAAAAATGATTCAGGGGTTGGAAGTCATTTATATACAAGATAAAACGATGGATTTTTTTTAAACAATACCAGAATTGAATGTTTCATATATAATTTAAATAAATGATAATTTAAATGAGACTAACAGAGAGATTTGATACACATGTCATATATACTATAAACTTGTTTATACTCCCTCCATCCCAAAATGAACTTCACAGTCACTATTCACGTGGTCAACTTAAATTACTCTTAATCTTATGTTTTATATATCAAATTTTTATCAAATTTATATTTTTTTATCAACCTTTGTAGCGGTTTTAATGTAGTTTCTCAATATGTAAATTTTATTTACTAAAAGTAATCTGAGTATGATAAGGGATCGAGTTGCTTTATCATCAGTCAAGCATCGTAATCCGAAATGGGAAACTCATTTTAGGATGGAGGTAGTATGTGTTTAGTCAAAGGATTCCGTGCGGTTAGTGCCTCGATGGGACCATGTGTCTTCCCCTCTCACTCGTCTTAATATCAAGATTTATTACCAGAAACAAATCAGTTATTGAGTAGACATTTGTAGCTGCAAGATATGTTATCTTAGCTCTCTCGACTCAGAGTCGTGTCACCTAATGGTTGAATTATACGTTATTTTTAAAATTTGGGAATATAATCAATATTACACATCAAATTTCACTCATTTTAAGTTTAGATAGTGTTGATTTTCCAGAAGTCATAACTTTTTACTTGTAATGAGTTACAGAGTCATATATCAAATCGAAGGTATTTTAGAGTTATCTATTCTCAAACTTTCAGGGGGTCGCCTGACCACCTTGATCCCCCTTGGCTCTGCTCCTCCTGATGAGTGTGTAACACCCCCTATCCGCCCCGGAAGGCTAGGGTAGGGAGCGTTACCCGCAGTGCCGAAGCATCAAAGCGTTGACTTACTTTTCCATTCTTTTTCATTATTCAAAAAAAACTTTTATTTTAAAAGCGAGCGAGTGATAATAACTTTATGAAAAATCATAATTGCGGAAGCATTCAAATTTTATACATGACACTAAAAGATTTAGTGTTGCCGTTACATTATACTAGCATGTTGATTACATATTAGTTATGCAAATTAAAATGAGATATTACTAAATGCAAGTGTGACTCTGTTCTGATTGGCAGGTAGCTCCCAAATGTTTTCCTCCTTGAATTTTGCCTCGTAATGACTACGTACCTACGCGAAGGACAAAAATCCAACGCGCTAAGCTTGGTGGTGTTCATTCTTTCTCGATACAATTTCAGTATCAAATATCACATCGTAAATTGATAATTAAAAATGACATCACACATATACTAAATTGAAAAATATAAACTTAACAAGATTTGATTTTACCATTTGACTAATAAATATCAAATTAATACTCCCTCCGTCCCATAATTAACTTCAGTTTTGACTGGTCAAGAGGATTAAGATAGTGAGATTTGTGTGGTGGAGAGTTGTGTAGAGGAGAGAAATGTGTAAGAATGGTTGTGAACCACATATTCTTTACAAAAAAGAGAAAGACGAGATAAATTTGGGACGAAGCGAAAAGGAAAGAATGAAGATAATTTCGGGACAGAGGGAGTACATTTTATTTCAAGTAGCTTTTCAATTCATTTAATAATAATAAACAAAATAAACTCCTTGAAATCTCAAAAGTTTATAATCACAACTAACTCAATTCGGTATTAGCTTATAAACAAGATTCAATATAAAATCCTTAATATCTATTAGTCCATATTGAATATGTAATACAACTCCTTTATAATATATATTTGTGTATTTTACTTTATTTATCAGGAATAATATGAAATGGATCAACATAATTATTTCGAAACATGTAATACCATTTCATTCGTAGTGTCTAGTTCAATTTATTTCACTTTGTTCAAAGTAGTCATTTTAATGTATTTCCAAATATACAATATCCTGATTAAAATTTTACTCTTTAATTGAGTTGTTAATATATCATAATTTTATTTATAACATTTGGAGTGATATAAATATACCTTTCTTATCAGGATATTAAGCGTAATATCATAACTTTATTTAATCAATTATTTATCCCGTTGTCCCTCATATTCAACATTAGCATATTTCGGAATAAATAATTCATGAGTAAAATCTAATTCTTCAATTGAATGTAATGTGACATTCTCCTATCGTCTTTCATTTTTATATTCATATCATTCTTTCATTTCTCATGAGACCGAGAGTCAAAATTCACATGAGGTATATCATAGTTGCAATTCAATATTCCATTCGATTTTCTTGTTGTCTCACTTTAACTTCCAATTGCTCAATTATCATCTTCTTCTCATTGTCAATCTCTCTATTTTCTTTTTCACACCGTTATTCTTTTATTAAGTTTCTGGAATTCTACTCCTTAATTTAATGGACTGGATAAACGAGACGTTCTCATCTTTGGTACTGTCCACTCGGTGGCTACGGACCATCAGAGAACTATTTTGGCACGGACCACTTGGTGGCTTTGACCGGGGTTCGTTTGGGTACTGTCCACTCGGTGGCTACGGACCCATAAACAAACATATTTGGGTACTGTCCACTCGATGACTACGGACCCGTATAGGAGCGCGCATGTATCAAATATCAAGATTTGGGTGTTGTGCACTCGGTGGCTACGGACCCGAAATCATTGATCAAATTCTACGGCCGTTTTAATTATCCCTATTGGCATGCCAACCTATCCAAATCCAGAAACAAGGTTTCAAATGTCATTTTTATTTTATTCATTTAAATGAAGTGTGTATCATTAATATTATTTTAACTATAACTACTACTTCGTATTTTCCAATTCAAAATAGTATCATTATAAACAAATAGGAGTAAAATATAATGATATTATATTCCAGATTGTGTTTATGTAAATACTCTCGCACTTATTATTCATTTTTGTAATTTCTTATATAGATTTTTATACGTACAACATTTCTGTTAAATTGACTTCATTATAAATCTCACCTCAACATTTCCCCTTTTTATATGTAATTGGTCTTACAAATTTTCAAGTTCAATTCATCGTACTGTATATATTAACCAATACCCATCACTAGCTAGTTTAGCTCCTATTGATTAAATCCAAGTCTTTACATTTTATAACTTTCAAATTTATTTCATTAGTACTATACATTAGTACATAGATATAATATATGATTGATTGAAGTTCAACTGAATCATAATATTATAAATCGAGGCCATTAATTTCTGATGCATACTTTTCAGTTTTAGAAACATAATTTATTATTAGATGAGTTAGAATCCCCTTTAGAAACATAATTTATTATTAGATGAGTTCGAATCCCCTTTATCAGTCTCCATACTAGTTTATAAACTTACGTGTATGATTTTTGATTATAATCCAAGATTAATTATAAATATTTTAGGAAATTACTTAGAGAGAATTCCCTAAATAGGAGTAAATTAAAAAGTTTTGAAATTCCAAAATAGGAGTATCATGTTTTTTATTCCTTGAATAGGACTAAATTTCTGCCAAGTTTGGCATTACTAGGCTTTAAAACATGGCATTTTCCCCCAAACTTGGCAGATTACTCCTATTCAGGGAATAAAAAACATGATACTCTTATTTTGGAATTTCAAAACGTTTTTGCTCTTTGTTGAGGTTTACTCCTTCAACCCGTAGGCCCAACACGTAACCTAAAGGTCTTGAGTGGATGATTTAGTAAGTTAGATGAAGAAACAAGCAAGGAAAAGGCTCAATAAAGAGTGTGTATTCACTGAAATGATTACAAAGCCAAGAGGCCGTTCGTATAGTGCTATGTTATGAGCTGATACAATTGCTAGAATGCTAGAGTGCTAAATTGTGAACCCTTTACAGTGAAATAAATGCTTCTATTTATACTATCAATGGGTAGTTGGATGCGTTGACGTGGTTGGCTGTGGATGAGACGATTCCAACCACCAAATCTTCTGCATTAAATGCGTTTCCCACCAGAATCTTGGTTTCCCGCCAATGGATGGAGACGTTCATTCCCATGCGCTTGCCTCCCGTTTCCTGCTGGGCCCCTGACATCCTGTCAAGGGATGGGGACGTTCGTCCCTATGCACTTGAGCCCTGTCTCCTGCTGGACTCTTGGCATTCTGCCAAGGGGTGGGGACGTCCGTCCCCATGCGCTTGAGCTATTTTTGGGCCAGGGTACCTGCTGATACTAGAATACGTACGTCCCCTGACCCTTTGTACTGAAGCTTGACCCTCTTTGGGACGGAACTCTTCCCGAACTACTAGACAGGTAACCCATCGTCTTGGGCCTCCAACAGGACGTTCGTAGGAGGTCCTCGTGTGCCTTCTGGGGACGTTTGTAGGAGGTCCTTAAGGGTTGATGGGACGGCCCTTGTCGGGCGATTAACCCAACACAAGTCCTCCACTTCTGATGTTTCGAGCGTGCGCGGGACATAAGGAAGTAAAAATGCTCCACCATGTCGCCCTAAGCCGACGTCCCTGACGTGACAGTTGATTTTTCGGTTGCTGTTCACGGGGCTCTAGGTGATGGTTATGCAGACCGGTTCAACTTCCAATGGAAAGGTAATCATTACGTGCCTGTCCGTTTTAACGCGGCACGTGTCCATGGGTACGCTCCTCGCCACGTGTCCTACGCGGGTTGGTTAGCGAAGAGGCATTTCCTCTTTTAAATACTGGATTTCTTGTCGAGATTAGGGTTTTCAATCCTCTGCTTTTTTCCCTCAATTGTTTCGGCGTTCTTCTGCAAGCGCTC